CGAATGTTCTTCGTACTCAGTAATACTTTGTCGCCAACTGCAAAAACGACTTCCCGGCGTTTCATGTCGGCATAGGACTTTTGCCTCTGTCGGGCAAGCTGCAGCCAATGGCGATCGGACTTCAAAGCCGCTTGCTGTTTTCCAATAAAGTCCTTTGCGGCAGAGATTTTGAGGTTCTTAATCCCATGCGTTGCAGGGGTTGTGGGGTGCCGACCGCAGTTCAGGACAAAGGGTTTCTCATGGGTGCTTTCATGCACAGAATTGTTCACAGCAAATTCCACGACTGGCAACAATTCATCCCAATCGTCCTGAGTTGGGCTTATGAAAGAACGAAGCATTTGCTCAAGAGTGCGGTTGGTCCGCTCTGTCTGTCCATCCGTTTGTGGGTGGAACGCAGACGACATCTTGAGTTTCGTTCCGAGTGTCTTAATGACCTCTTGCCAGAACCGGCTTGTGAAGCGCAGGTCTCGGTCAGCCACCATCACACGAGGCAAACCGTGTAAGCGAAAACGTGCGTCACAAACAACTTTGCCGTATCCTCTGCAGACACGTCAGTCGTCGTGGGCACGAAGTGCACCATTTTGGTCAAGCGATCGACAAACACTAGTAACGCCGTATGACCATCTCGCGTCTTGGGGAGATCGGTGATAAAATCCATCGATACACTCTCCCAAGGTTCATCGGGAATCTCAAGTGGTTGAAGCAAACCACCAGGCTTCTGTGTGCTTGGCTTGTGCCGCGCGCACGTGTCACAGCGAGTTACAAACTGCTGGACCTCACTGCCCACTCCCGGCCACCAATATACATCACTGAGGGCCCACCGGGTTTTCTTGACACCCAGGTGTCCTCCATACTTGGTGGCGTGCACCTCTGCTAGAATATCGTTCCGCATGTTTCCCACATGTGGGACAACAATTTATTTCTTGTGCCAACAGAGCTCATGCTCCCACAAGAGATCCTTTGTATTCTATGGGTTCCAAAACCAAGGGTCAATATCATACCCTGCGCAAACGCGTTTCAGAAAACCACCAAAGGCAATCTCACTCACTCGAGCAGCTGCGAGGATGTTCAAACAATTAGTAAACACTGCTTCATGTTCAGTATTATCAACACCCGTTGCTGCACCAATCGGCTGTCTGCTCAGAGGATCAGCCATGTTCGTCGAGCCCGCTCGATATCGAATATCATAGGTGAACCCACTAAGGAGTTCAGCCCATCGAGCTTGACGACGGGTGAGTGTGGCTTGAGTGGCAAAATAGGTGTTCGGACAGTGGTCGGTCGTGACCACAAAGTCAACACCTTCGAGATAACATCTCCATGTTCGTAGCGCATGCACAACTGCCAACAATTCTTGTTCGGAGTTGTATAGCGCTGTTCAGCTGGTGAAAGCTTTCTACTCTCAAATGCCACCGGGCGTCCTTCTTGCAAAAGAACTGCTCCAATCCCTACTGTTGAGGCATCAGTTACCACCTCGTAGGGCTTGGACGGGTCTGGCAAAGCCAGCACTGGAGCATTGGTAAGCATGGTTTTCACCTCCTCAAATGCCTTCTGGCATTGATCGGTCCACTGCCAAGCATTACCCTTACGAGTGAGGGCAGTCAGTGGAGCGAATACGGAGGAATAATTTTCCAAGAAACGGCGAAAATAGTTCGCAAGTCCAAGACATGATCTGACCTGTCCCACGTCCAGTGGAACGCGCCACTGTTGGACTCCCGCCACTTTCTTTGGATCGAATTTGAGGCCATCGTTGCCTACCAAGTGACCAAGGTATTCCGACTCGCGTTTGTAGAAGTGACACTTCCACAATCGAGCGAAGAATTTATGCTCTCGTAGTTTTCCTAACACCCATTTCAGGTGTTGCGTGTGTTCTTCTTCAGTCTTCGAGTACACGAGGATGTCATCCAAGTATACCAGGACAAATTTGCCAATTGCTTCCCGAAACACATCATTCATTGCTCGCTGAAATGACGCGGGGGCATTTGTCAAGCCAAAACTTAACACACGCCACTGAAAATGTCCGAGTGGCGTTCTGAAAGCCGTTTTTGGAACATCTTCTTCGGTGATTCGTAGCTGGTGATACCTCTGAGCTAAGTCCAGCGCAATGAACCACTGAGCTCCTTGGAGCCAATCGAATAGATCCTCAATTCGTGGTAGAGGGTAGCTGTTCTTCACCGTAATCTTTTTCAAGGCACGATAATCTACGCACATGCGTAATCCTCCGCCCTTCTTGTTAACGAACAAAATTGGTGCTCCGTAAGAGGATGCACTGGGTTCAATCCATCCTTTTCTGAGGTATTCCTCGATCGGTTATTTGGCCTCTTCGTACTGAGCTGGACTGAGGCGATGTGAAAATGTAGAAGAAAGAAGAGGAGTGCACTAGCAAGAATGGGGATACAAATAGCAAACCCTAGAAGGGTTGTACTCGCTATAGAGCACCCCACTACAGGCTAGAGCATAAGATAACATTCTGACACACCCCCATAGCCAAAGTGGGGTGTAATCAACAGAGGAAGCAAAGCAGTACAAGCTCAGGGTGGATCACAATGTCACCACACATTCTGAGCACAAGTTCAAGAAGCAATAGTTTAAAGGGTACAATTATGAGCAAAGCTAGTGGTAGTCACAACCGGCAAGCGAGGAGGAGGAGAGAGAGTGAGAGGAGAGGAGATAGGAGGCAACGGCTGAAGCTGCAGACACACGGGCAACAGGAGGCAGACTGGCACAGCGGCTACCGGACGAAGTCCCCGGAATACAGGAGTAACAGGCCCCGCGGCTAAAGTAGCGGCAGACGAGCAACGGACCCACGGGTGGCTGGCACAGCTGGCTACGACTGGGCTACCGGACGAAGTCCCCGGAATACAGGTGCTGCTGGCGACACGACGGCAACCTCCATACAGCTTCCCCAGACTATCCCACTCCCCCTGGCACACACCCGCTGCTACACCGCTAGCTCCACTCCCACGCACCCCCCTTAAACCCTAAACCCCAGTCTCCCACACATCCACCCCCCTCAGCGAGAGCTGCAGCAGTGGGAGACAAAGGAGGAGGAGGAGCAAAGGGAGGAATGCAGAAGTGCCACCCCCATACTCGCCACCCCCTACTCGCCACTCCCCAAACCCTAACACAGGCAGGGCGGGATGGCGGGTAGGGAGGTTACGGGGGAGGGGGGGGGGGGGGGGGGGGGGGGGGGGAACCGACGCGCGGCCTCCCAGGGCGCCAAGACACGCAGCAGAAGGGGCGGCGCTCGCCCCCCTCCCCCAGGTAGCGGCCCCCGAGGGTCGCCTCGACGGGCGACGGGAAAAGGGGCCGCAGGCGGGGCCGGGGCGCGGGTAGGGCAATGGGGCCGGGGCGCAGGTAGGGCGTCGGGGCCGGGGCCGCAAACGGGGCCGGGGCGCAGGTAGGGCGACGGGGCCGAGGCGCGTGCCCTCGGTACGCCGCGACGGGTCCCCGTCGCCCGTCGCGGCGCCTCCAGAGGGCGACGCGGCGAACGACGGGGCAGAAGCCCGCCGCGCGCCTCGGGGCGCACGGCGGGCAGAAAACCGCCGCGCGCCTCGGGGCGCACGGCGGGCAGAAAACCGCCGCGAGCCTCGGGGCGCACGGCGGGAAGAAAAAGTGCCGCACGCCAGGGGGCGTGCGGCTCAGAGAGTAGTGAAAGGTAGTTGCAGCGGAAGCGAGGAGGTGGTAACCCACCCACAGGATCGATCCAAGGGGATCGACCTGCTCTGATAGCATGTGAAAATGTAGAAGAAAGAAGAGGAGTGCACTAGCAAGAATGGGGATACAAATAGCAAACCCTAGAAGGGTTGTACTCGCTATAGAGCACCCCACTACAGGCTAGAGCATAAGATAACATTCTGACAGGCGATACGGAGGTCGAAAGGGTGGAACCTTTCCTGGTTCAACAAGGATGGTGTGACCCACTGCGCGGTCAGGCGGAAGTCCATCAGGGATGGTTTCAAACACTTCCTTCAATTCCTCTGCCAGAATTTGCATTTGAGGAGGGAAATTCTCAATTGTTGGCTCCGAGGCCTCAGCATTCTCAAGCTGTACCACGAACAGAGTATCAGCCGACTTAACAGAATGCCCGAACTGGTTGGCCAACACACACAGCACACTGGGACGTTCAGGCGTCTATGTTTCAATGGGCAAAGTATCATTGACTTGCCATTGGATTGCCTTTCCGTTCTTGTTGAACGAGACAATGTTGTACTGGAAGTCCAGAATGACTTCGTTGGCTCGCAACCAATCCATGCCCAGGATGAGGTTGACACCTGACAGAAATGGTAGGACATACACGCGAACTGTTTCGCTATAGTCCTATACATTCATGTGGATATGTGTCTGTCCTTTACTTGGAATGACACGATCGTCACCCAAGCGGATGGGACATGACGGTCCTACAACGAGGACGTTGCATGTCGTAACCCAAGTTTCAACAACAAGGGAAACCGACGCGCCTGTATCGACGAGAATCCTTGCGTCGTCCCCATTCATGCGTCCAGATAACAGTAGATTCTGTTGGAATCTTGGACAGATGGGACAAGCGACAACAAGTTTAGGAGGTCGATAGTACACCCTAAATTTGTTGTGAGGACGTCCAAACCTTTGGGAGCTGGTCCACCAGACGTGGTGTCCTTTGTCCCATGGTGCCAGGATATGCCATTCGTGAAAGCGGCGGAATAACTCTCCTTTCACGATTTGAGTCACCAATCCCACTGACGTGAGCGGATGCTCTTGGACACAACGGTCCACAATATCCATGATTCCAGGCAACTTGTTGAACGAGCAAGAGATGATTGAAATTTTATTTCTCAAGGATTCAATTGAGATGATTTCAAGTGGGTATGATCCTGTTTTAAAAACAGATTTTTCACTAATAGAAGAGGCATACAAACAAGCAATTTTCCATGATGCAAGCTTCTCTAGCTTTAGCAAATCCTCATCACGAAGGACATAAGCCTCATCTACTCGATTTCGCTCACCAACTAGGTACCCACCCCCTAGTTGGACTTCGGAAAATCCTTCGAGCCCGAAGGGCCAGATCCATCCGGCTTCTTGCCCTGGTTGGGCTTGCCGGAGTTCTTGATGGACTTCCTCCAACAGCAATGATAGGACTTGTGGCCGAGCTTGCCACAAATGCGGCAACCCGCCGGGGGCTTATCCTCATCCTGAGGATCCTTGGCAGACCCAGCATGGGCCCTCTTGGACTGAGTCCCAGAGGATTCCCCCTTCTGCTGATAGGGCCTCTTCCAAGAGCCATCGCTCCTGTGCGCCTGAGTCCTGCTACCACCCCCCCTAAGGCCTTTGGCACTAGGCTGCTGCTGAGCACGAGCGTGAGTCATGTACGCACGGAAATTGACATCCGTATCAATGACCTGCTCCTTGCACTCCTTGTAGGTCCTCCACTGGTGCTCCCCACGCACAACATGCACACGCTTGATGTGCTCAGGGAGTCCCTTTAAGAACTGGTGGATGACCTCGCTCTCAGGAAGAGCAGTCTTCAGCAACGACAGAGTTTTCTCAAAATCCTTGGCGTACTCGCGTACAGGCTGGTCACCGCACTGGATGTTCTCCAGGCGGCTATGCACCTCGAGCGCCGGGGGCTGACTCAGGAATGCCGCCAGCATGGCAGCTTTGAACTCCTCCCAGCCAAAAGGATGGCCATTAGCCTCTGCGTGGCGCTTGTTGGCATACACCAACTTGCTCGTTGTGTCGTCCAGGGCAAGGGTCGCAGCGACCACGCGAGCCTCGCTACCCACATTGTGGATGGACATAAAGTCCTCCGCAATGGAGAGCCAAGTCTCAACGTCAGTTTTGCCGTGGACAAAACGAGGCAGGGCCGAAGGCCAAGAGCCAGAAGCAGTTGCTGCTGCAGTAGGAGGCTCAGCACGTGCTCCAGTAGGAGGAGGAACACCAGGAGGTGCATCAGCAGGTGCAGCACGGCTGTTAGCGGCGTTGGCGACTCGCTCTGCTGCAGGAGCAGGCTGGTAGAGGTTTCCACGCCGGATCTCCCTGTACTGAGTCTGAAGCACAGAGATGTATTTCTCTTGCTTCTTGAGCTGATCTTGCACGAACTGGAGAGTGGTCTGCAGGTCCTGGATGAAGCTGGAGGTGTCATTTCCCTTAGGAATCGACTGCACCTCCCTGGTCAGCTACTCAATCAAGGCCTGAAGCTTAATAGAATCAGCCTCCAAGTTCTGGATGCGGCAGTGCTGCTCTCCAATGAGAATGTTCTGCTCCGTGATTTGAGTCTGAAGCTTAACAGCGATGTCCTCAGTCTCATTAGAGACACCCTTAGCAGAGCCAGCCTCATCCTCATTGTCAGCATCAGCCTCAAGGTCAGCTTCACTTCTATTGATCTCCATGTCAACCACGAAGTCCTCAAGGTTGAGATCAATGTCAGCAGCAGCAGCAGCATTATCTCCTTCATTGCCAACAATAGGCACCTCCTTAGTAGCATCCACCTCTTGACCAGAAGCCATGAAATAGGTTAAGGAGAGGAGATCTCAACAGATCTTTTAACAATCCTAAAGAAATCTGATCACTCTTATAAAATAATCCAATACAGAATCTCTTAAGATAGACTTGTTTGCCAAATCCCTCTATCACCTCAGTGATAGAGCAAGATATACTCAATAGAGTAATCCTCAACAAGTCCTTATAGATCTGAAGGTACACTCTTCTACCCAAAGTAGATCAAGAGTCTTCCACCAAAGGTGGGTAAGAGAAATTAATCTCTTCAAATTTCTTCTCTATGTTGATGAAGAAAAAGAAGCTCCTTGTAGATCTTGCACTCCAAAGAAGGGTTGAAGTAGTTGTAGCTTGGAATTTGTAGATCTATGAAGAAGCTTTTGTAGATCTTGAAGAAACACTTGTAGAACTTGAAATTTCTTCAAAATCTTCACTGCTACTTGGATAAAATTCGAGATCCATCAGCTAGGATCCTCTAAAAAAAATAATCCAAGTAGCAAATGGCCACACAAGGCGAAGGAAGAACCTTGCTCTAGATACCAATGTAACACCCAAGGCTATTATAATGGAGTTACAAGGCTTTTATAATAAATCCCAATCCAAGATGAAGCTCTAGCTAGCTCCTAATAGCCTTTGAGGTGCCAATCTTCTTAGAGGAGTTGTTGAAATAGCTTGAGAGAATTGTGTGGGAAGGCTTGTGAGAGAGCCGAAAAATGACTTTGAGAAACAATCCCATTTCCAATTGTTTAGTTGGAGTGGGAGGTTGAGAATGAGGTTGCTTAGCTCAGACCTCCTCAATACACCCCTTGGGGAACTATCCCAACCATGGTTTCCATGGTGGGATGGCTCCTAGGCTTGGAGCCTATGTGGCAATTGTGTTGGGTTGGAAAACCCAACTTAGAACCATTCAATGGTTGTGTTTAGGATAGAGTAGATTGTAACACTTGTTTGGCAGTTTCTGATTGGTTGGAATTCCAACCTTCAACATTCTCTTGGTTGAGTTGGAAATGTTCCAAACCTCCAAAGTTGAGGCTTGGCAAACCCAAACCAAGTTTCATCCCAACCGACTCAACCATCTGAGAAAACTGAAACGAGAATGATTGAACTATGAATGAGTTGGGTACAAGTACTAACCCTAATTGGGTTGTACCCCTTATGGGATACCCCACTACAGCCTATACAATATGTATAAGCTACAATGTTCCGACACACCCCCATAGGCAAAGTGGGGGAGAACAAGGGGTCACAAGACCAGTCAAGCAAAGCAAAGCAAAGCAAGCTCAAGGTGGATCTCAAAGTCATCACACATTCCGAGCACAAGGTCAAGGCCACAAGGCCAGTTCACATGCAAGAGTACACATATATATATATATATAAAGCTAGACAAGCAAGAGCAGGTATATATATACGTAACAGTACAAGCAAGGTCAAGAGGTGAGCAAGTGAGGCAAGACAGGCACAAGACCCAGGTGAGTGCAGAAGCGCTGATGATCACAAGGCACAAGTGCCTTGGTGAAGACATCAGCAGTGTTGGCCTCAGAGGCCACGTACGCAAGCCGCAACTGACCACGCTGCTGTAGCTCACAAGCAAGGAAGTAGCGGAGAGCAATGTGCTTTGTTCTGTGCTCCAGTCTCTGCTCTCGACACAAGGCCAGCATGGCCTTGTTGTCTACGTACAGAACTAGAGGAGAACGAGGCGGCTCTCCAAGGTCAGTCAGCAGGTAGGTGAGCCAGCGAAGCTCCTGTGCAGCCATGGCCCCTGCGTAGATCTCGGCCTCACAACTGGAGCCGAGAACAGAAGACGAGCGAGTAGCCCGCCACGAAATAGAGCCGGAACCAAGGCTGAAGGTGTAACCCTGTGACGACCGCTGTGTAACCTGGTCGTCAGTCCAAGAAGCGTCTGTATGCCCAGTGAGGACCACTGGACTCCGCCCTCCAAGCACTAGCTCCATGCCCGACGTACTGCACAAGTAGCGCAACACCCTCTTTGCTGCAGCCATGTGCTCTGGTCGGTGTCTCCCAGGAGCAACATAGCGTGCGAGAATGCTAAGAGGGTATGCAAGGTCAGGTCGTGTGCAGGTCATCAGGTACATGAGGCAGCCAACAAGCTCTGGATACGGGCCACTCGACTCTACGGACTCATCCGAAGGCAGAGCTGAGAGTGATTGGCGAGTAGGCAGAGGAGTGGCCTGAGGCGAGGAGTACGTGAAGCCAAAGCGCTGAAGGACCTGCTGCACCATGTGTGACTGAGTCACGGTAATGGTGCGGCGTGATCTCTCCCGGGTGATCTGCAAGCCAAGGTAGCTGCGCAGTTCACCCAGCTCAGTGCACGTGTGTCTCTTCTGCAGCTCGAACTTCATGTAGGCGAGTCCAGCAGTGTCAGCAGTGGCAAAGACCAAGTTGTCGACATACACGAGGATGTAGAACGGTGGCAGAGAGGTGTCGGTGCGCAGAAAAAGCGATGGGTCGGCAGTAGAAGGAGCAAACCCAAGAGCCGCAAGCGTAGTCTTCAGTGTGTCGTGCCACTCACGGGGCGCCTGGCGGAGACCGTAGACTGGACGCTGGAGACTCCACTAGGTACCAGGAGGAAACGACCCAGTGAAGCCAGGTGGGCGGCGCAGTCAGATCTCCTCGTGCAAGCTGCCCTGCAAGAAAGCTATGCTGAAGTCAAGAGAGTGCAGCTCGTAGTCACAGTGAGCAGCAAAGTGCAGCAGTACCCAAAGAGTGGTCATCTTCGGGGTGGGAGAGAAGGTCTGAAAGTAGTCAACTCCCTGCCGCTGACTGAAGCCACGAGCCACGTGCCAGGGACAGGAGGAGGACGCGGACGGGAACCACGACTACTAGTGCGAGCAGCACGGACAGGCGACGCAGGGCGAGACGCAGGCTCACGACGCTCAGCAAGACCTCCAGTAGGACCAATTTAGAGAGAAGGAGCAGGCAGAGGGGAGGCCGGGTGTAGCTGTAACTGTGACGGGACAGGCTGTGGACACCTAAGGGAGGAGAAGGACTAGTAGAAGGCGGAAGACCAAGAAACTGCTGAAGGAGCGGAACGAAGTACGGTCGAGGCCGCGTGGCGACTCCAGACACAGCAGGAACAGCACCAGTACCCCCAGCTCAAGTACCCGCAGCAGCTCCAGTAGCTCCAGGACCTCAAGCAGCACCAGTAGCACCCCCAGCAAGACCGCCACCAGTAGGCTCAGCGCCAACACCCTCATGAGCACCAGCTCCAATCAAACCCGCAGGCCCAGTAGCTGTAGTACTCCTAGTACGAGAACCTCCGGGACCCACAACACCAGCACCCTCAGGAGCCGAAGAACCTCCAGCTCCACCAGCACGGCTCCAGCGCCGTGCAAATTACCCGCACAGTTCCTGTGGAGAGAGTGGCTGCAGCCGAGACGAAGCACCCGGAGAACCTCCAGGCCCAGCACCACCAGACGCCACACAAACAGGTTCAGCTCTCTCAGGCTCCACACCTCCAGGCGTAGCACCTCCAAGCTCAGCACCCCCAAGCTCAGTACCCCCAGGCGTAGCACTCCCAGGCACACCACCCCCAGGCATAGCGCCCCCCGGCACAGCACCCCCAGGCTCAGCAACCCCAGGCTCAGCATCCCCAGTCTCAGCACCCCCAGGCTCAGCACCCCCAGTAGTAGCACCCACACGCACAGCACCCCCAGGCTCAGCACCCTCAGCACCTCCACAGTCACTAGTAACCTCAACAGGCTCGACTGCGTCTACCTGGGACACACCTGAAGGGGCAGGACCCTCAGGTGGGAGGGGGTCTACTGGGGGGGGACCTGGTACAAGGAAGAGCGGTGGCGGGGGGAGGGACGGAGTGCGGTAGGGGAAGAGGCGGTAGTAGGGGACCGACTCGTCAAACGTGACGTCTTGAGAGGACAGAACACGGCGCGAGGTGGGGTGGTAGAACTGCCACCCAGGCGCGTCACGGGGGAACCCCAGGAAGACGCAAGGAGCAGCACGAGGGGACACCTTGTCCGTAGACAAGACGCGAACAAACGCCCGAGATCCCCAGACACGGAACGCAGACGCATCGCAAACCTTACCCGTCCACAGTAAAGCTCGGGAGGTCTCCGGCCTGGAGACCCTAGGGTGAAGGTTGATCTGATTCGCTGCGTACCTCACCGCAAACGGCCACAAAAAATGGGGGGCAGCCGCATGCAACATGGACGTACAAGCGACGTCCATGACCATGCCAATGCGGCGCTCAGCAATCCCATTTTGCTGCGGAGAGTTCGGAAGCTTGAAGGTCTAACGGATGCCTCGTGCACAACAATAGGCTCTCAGAAGGACAGAGGAGAACTCTCCGCCTCGGTCAGAGTGCAGACGCAGAACGGGAAAGTCCGAGCCGAAGCTCTGCCTAAGCTAGAGACGAGCTGCGCGGATCTAGTCGATCAACACCTCAGTGATATCACCCTTGCTGCGCAAGGGGAAGACTGCGGTGTAACGCGAGTAGGCGTCAACCACCAACAGGAAGTAGCGCTCGTGACCCTGTCCACAGACGCGGGCTAGGCCCCACACGTCCATGTGAAGCGTCTGCAGCGGGGCCTCAGTCGGAGGAGACAGGGAGGAGTGAGGGGCAGCCCGCTGCCGCCCCTCGACACAGAGGACACAGGTAGGGCCAGGCCCCGGAGGAAGGGGAGGGAGGGACCGGGGAAGACCAGAGACAAGGAAACGGGAGGCCATGCCTCTGAGACGAAGCAAAGAGGGGTGGCCAAGGCGGTGGTGCCAGAGGAGAGTCTCGTGAGACAGGAGACTACACACACGGGGGCAGACACAGGACCAGACCTGGACGCTGCAGCAAACACCTGACCCGACGCAGCTACCCGACCAGACTCAGTGACTGGAGGAGACTCAGTGGTCAGTGTGTACAGGCTCGACCCCGGCTGATGCGTAAACGTGGCCAAGTGTCGGCCTGTCCAAGCCTCAGTGCAGTGTGTCACCCGCTGACTCGCAAGAGTGAACTGGTGCCCTCCCCCATCCTGTAGGTTTGCACCACTCACCAAGTTCGTAGAGAACGAGGGGAGGTAAAGACCAGACAGGGCGTGAGGGGGGGCCGCCGGACACAGGAGGACTGTGGAGAAGTGAGCAAGGACAGGACCCCCGGAGGGGTCTGCAGAGACACCAGCACCGGCCGACCAAGCAGCGTGAGTGTGGTGCGGTCTCGAAAGAAGGAGCGAGAAGCACCAGAGTCTAGGTGCACGGACCAGTACCCCCACCCCGCTGGCGTGCAGCGTACCACTCACGGAGCTGCTGAGGGGACAGGGACTCACGACCGCGCTGCTACTGCTGGTGCGGACCACCACTGGAGCCACTCCTCTGCGTAGAACCGCGACCAGCTCCACCGCCACCTCCGCCACCTCCGCTGCCTCCGCCACTGTCGCCGCCTCCGCCACCACCGCCGCCTCCGCTCCCTCAGCCACCACCGCCTCCGCCTCCGCCTCCACTGCTGCCACCGGCACCCCCACCCCCTCCACCACTCCCACCACCACCCCCACTCCCTCCGCCGCCTCCACCGCCGCCTCCACCGCCCCCGCCAGCTCCTCTAGCGCCCTTGCCCCTTTTGCCCTTGCGTGTGCGGCGCTTCCCTGAAGTGGTAGACGCAGCGCCGACCGACTCAAAACCAACGAGGTCGGCGGCAGCAGCAGAAGAAACAAAGGGCAAGAGGGGGGAGGGAGAACACCCCTCAAAGACAGGGGTGCGCGGGTCACCACGAGAGGCTCCTACAGCGACTATGCTCTTCTCCGCTGCTAGGAGGGCCTTCTCGAGGAGGTCGACAGTGAGAGTGGTGGGGCACACTGCGACGAAGTGGACCCTGACTACGCGAAGGGAGTCAAGGAGCTGGGTGACTATGTAGTAGAGGGTGATATACATGGGGGGGGGGTTCTTGACGCAAAACTCAGCAGGAAGCGCAGCACGGTAGCGAGTGTCACTAGTGCGGAGGTGCGTAATGAGGTCAGCGACTGTGGGAAAGGTAGCAAGGTCAGGGAAAAGGTACGGTAGCATGAGACGGCTCAGTGCAGCAGTGGCAGGGGAGTAGTAGTGTGCAACTACAGCGTCGTACATAGTCTGAGCACTCTTGTACTGGCTAAAGTGCGCACACTCAGAGGTAGGGAGGTGGCGACGCACAGCAAGACGTGCAGCAGCATCGCGCGTGGCCCACAGGGAGCGAACAGTGGCGTTAGCATCTGCAGCAGGGGCAGGAGAGGCACCAGAGGTGAGGTCAAAGAGGGAGAGACCGTCTGCCCTATCGCACTGTAAGAAAAGCTGCAGGTCATCTATCCAGACGTCAACGTCAATGGCCCGACCCTCAGCGTCAAAAGCGAGGACACTAGGGCTAGCCATGACAGCAGTAGACTAGCAGCGCAAATAGTAGGGTAAGGGCAGTGCAGTGACAGAGGCGCTGTTCTTACCAAACAGGGCTGCCCGGGCAGCTAGGCTGTAGGGCGTCTCGGCGGCTCGGCTGCTGGGTGGCTCTGCTGCTGGGCGGCTCGACGGCTCGGCTGTAGGGCGGCTTGGCGGCTCGGCTGCACGGCGTCTCGGCTGCTGGGCGGCTGGGCTGCTCGGCGGCTCGACTGCAGGGCGGCAGGGCGGCTCGGCGGGACGGCGGCTTGGCTGCTCGGCTACGGGGCGGCTCCGCGGTGCGGCTGCAGGGCGGCGCGGCGGTCGGCTGCTCGGCTGGGTGTGGCGGCTCGGGCGGCTCGGGTGGCGGGTGGCGCTGCAGCAGGCGACGGCGCCTGTGTTGTAGTAAGGGTGGCGGGGCCGCAGGTATGGGCGGCGGGGCCGCAGGTGAGGGCGGCGGGGCCGCAGGTAAGGGCGGCGGGGCCGCAGGTAAGGGCGGCGGGGCCGCAGGTGAGGGCAGTGGGGCCGCAGGTAAGGGCAGCGGGGCCGCAGGTGAGGGCGGCGGGGCCGCAGGTAAGGGCGGCGGGGCCGCAGGTAGGTGGCGGGGCCGCAGGTAAGGGCTGCGGGACCGCAGGTAGGTGGCGGGGCCGCAGGTAAGGGCGGGGCCCCAGGTCGGTGGCGGGGCCGCTGGTAAGGGCGGCGGGGTCGCAGGTAGGTGGCGGGGCCGCAGGTAAGGGCGGGGCCGCAGATAGGTGGCGGGGCCAGCAGGTAGGCGCCGGGTCCGCAGGGCGGCGCGAGGGCCGGGAAAGGGCGGCGCGAGGGCCGCGGGGTGGGCAACGAGGCCGTAGGGCGGCGGGTTGAGGCCAGGAAGAGCGGCGCGAGGGCCGCGAGGTAGGCGATGGGGCCGCTAGGGCGGCGCGACTGGGTCGAGAAAGGGGAGCGCGACTCGGGCTAGGGCTGAGCGCGCTCCGGGCAGGAAAAAAAAAATTCGACTAGGTGGGCCCTAGGAACAGTTCCCACGAGGGAACCTGCTCGATGCCATGAGAAAACTGAAACGAGAATGATTGAACTATGAAACAGTTGGGTACAAGTACTAACCCTAATTGAGTTGTACCCCTTATGGCTAGGCGTGCACGGGGTGCCACTTCCGAGATGGAACCAAGGGTGCGCGAGGAAGAGAGTGTGAGAGGCACGTTTTGTGAGGCTGTAGGTGTTTCAGGTCGCTTTTGAGGTTGGTGTCAAATGTTTACCTACCACTCGTTTTGGTGGTTCAATTCAACACTTCACCGGAATGTAACCCCCCTATTCCCTCTATACCCCCTCGCTGTTTGGATGCGATGTGAGTAATTTTTATCGGTGGTGCTGATTGGCTGCGCTTCTGCACCATTCGAGGCGACAGAATGGTCACACACAGTATTTTCGTGCAATGGTGGTCATCTCTGGGGGAAGCAGGCCAATCTGAGTGTGGCGAGGTGATGATTGATTTCGCGACTCTGAGAGTGCGTCGCCAGGGTTGGTTCTACGAAAAAGGTTTTTGCTCCCTCTCGCTAACCCTATTTCATGTTCAGGAAACTTTAATAAGGAAAAGGGTATTCAGCCATGTGATACTCGGGCTTTAATCAGTGGCGCCTACCCACCTTTTGAATTTTTTTTCATAGCGTTATTTCATCATATCAATTGTTATGAGTTGTAAAAGAGAGTGCGCAGGTAAACGAATAACGAGGCTGTCACTGAATGAATCCGAGAATACAATGAATGCACAGACTAATGTAGGGCTAGCCTGTCTAGGAGGAAACCTCGGGAGATGAGGTTGGGTGCAGGTTTGGCGATGGGAATGCCGAAGGCGACGCGAGGAGCCTTGGCAGCGTTGAAATCGGCCGAACGTGCGAGCTCCGAAAATCGGGTTGTACGCGAAGCAGTCAACCCCGATAAGAAAATTCGGGAAAATTCCTTACACTACCCCCCCTTAAGAAAGGCGGTCAACATCCACGACACGCTTGCGCGCCAAGTAATTACCAACATCGAGTGAGGCGGATGGCACCCACGTGTCGTCCTCACTGGTGCGATCAGTCCAGCGGATCAAGAAATCCACGTGTCGGCCAGCTGCGTCAAGGCGAACCCGATAAGCCAGGATTTTCGAAGGGTCAAGGGTCGGCTCCGGAACAGGGCGTGCTGTTGGGGCAGCTTGCTGACGGGAGATGTCGGTCGTGGCTGGCATGAACTTGCGAAGAAGGCTGACGTGGAAGACGTCATGAATTCGCCAGTCGTCGGGTAGCAACAGCTTCGCGGTGACAGGTGTCACCATCTTGATAATCTTGAACGGCCCGCAAAATCGTGGCCGTAGTTTTGACGGGCCGGGCAGGTGCAGGTTCTTCGTGTCAAGGAGCACTAATTGCCCAGTGGTCAAGACGAGTTCCCGGCGTAGAAGATCTGCGTATTCGCGGGAAGTGATATTCGCTTTGCGAATTGCATCGGCGGCCTTTTCTCGGGTTTCCTGGAGTTCCGTCACAAAAGTTTGTGACCGTGGGACCGGGTTGTCGAGAGAAGTCGCGGTACGAACCGTCGGGTCCATCCCGTAATTCAGGAAAAAACGGGGAGTGCTTAGTCGTGCTGGACGGTGCGTTGTTGAAAGCAAACTCCAACATTGCGAGGGAATCTTCCTAGCAGGCCGGGTCGGGGCAGTTTGTTCGTATCAGCTGCTCCATGGTCTGATTGGTCCGCTCTGTTTGACTGTCCGTCTGTGGGTGATATGCCATTGAGAACTGTAGCTTCGTGCCGTACTGCGCCCACGTCTCCTTCCAGAACTTGGATGTGAATCGCGGGTCTCGGTCGCTGATGATCGCCGAGGGGATGCCGTGCAGTCGCACAACCGTGGAAATGAAAAGTCGCGCAGTTTCTTCTGCTGTAATTGTCGTTCGGCATGGTGCGAAGTGCGCCATTTTCGTGAAGCGATCGACGACGACGAGAACAGCGTCGTTGCCGGACGGCCCAGCTGGCATCCCCGTGACAAAATCCATCGTCACTTGCTGCCACGGTCGTTCGGGTGGCTCGAGGGGTTGCAGCAGCCCAGCTGGTCGTTGACGTGTCGATTTCATAGCTTGGCACACCCTGCATGAGGACACATATCGCTGCACGTCGTTAGAGGAGTCAGGCCAATAATATTGACAGTGCAGTAATTTCTGGGTTTTATCAACCCCGAAGTGTCCGGAGAAATTCGAATCGTGGACCTCCTGGATGAGAAGTTGACGCAGCAACCGGTAAGCGGGAACCCAAATCCGGTCGGTACCGGCTTTTACGTTGTAATCCCCTTTATGCATCGTGGCCTGCTGATGATTCCCGATCGTGAAGAATGGGTCCGTAGTGTAGCCGTGGGTGAATAGTCCTGTAAGTAGCGGGTTCGAATGGGTGATGAGTACTGCAGCGGATTGTACTGTCGGTCGGGTCAGGGCGTCGGCGATGTTATTCGCCCCTTTCTTGTACGTGATGCGGTAGGTGAAGTGGCTCTCCATGTAATCCAGCCACCTTATCTGTCGTGGGTTGAGGTTGGGTTGGGCTCGCAGGTACTGCAGGAACTTATGGTCCGTGCGAACAGTGACGTCGGCGCCTATCAGGTAGCATCGCCATAATTTAAACGCGTGTATGATGGCGAGCATCTCCTTGTCGTGAATCGGGTAGTTGCGTTCGGCTGCCTGCAGCTTGCGTGATTTGTAGGCTATCGGCTGCAATCCGTTCCCGAAGTCTTGGAGAAGCACAGCTCCGATGGCAAAATCTGAGGCGTCGGTTACGACTTCGAACGGCTTCGATGGGTCGGCGATGCGCAGAACAGGAGGTGAAACGAGAAAATTCTTGAGTTCCTGGAAAGCCGCTTCTGCCTCCTCCCCCCACACAAAATTTTTGTCCTTGTGCAGCAGGTCGGTCAGCGGGCCGGTTATCCCCGCCATATTCGGGATAAAACGCCTGACGTAGTTCACGAATCCGAGAAAGCTCTGGAGTTCCGTGACGTTCGTCGGGGAATTCCACTCCTGTATGGTCTTGATTTTCGCCGGGTCGATTTTAATGCCGTCGCGCGAGATTACGTGCTCCAAAAACTCCAACTCCTGCTTAAAAAACTCGCGTTTAGAGCCCTTGGTGATGAGTCGGTTCTCCTGCAGCCTTGTAAACACTGCGTCCAGGTCTCGGAGGTGCGTCTCTCGTGTCTTGCTAAAAATGAGGATATCGTCCAAGTAGACGATGACACATCGGTCTAGAAGATCCCGAAAAACCCTGTTCATGGTTAGTTGAAAAGTCGAGGGCGCGTTCGTGAGTTCGAAAGGCATCACTGTAAATTCGTAACTCCCGTAGTGTGTGCGAAATGCAGTCTTGTGACAGTCGTCGGCGAAGACTCATACCTTATACCGTGACGAGTCGCCTTCGACGACAATGTCTCATTTCAAGGCCGCCGAGTCGATCATACCGTACCCCGTCCCGCTCGCGTGGGCGATAATCGCGACGATTCTCCTCAACTCGCTCGCGATCGTCACATTTCAATTTCCCCATGGCTGCGGGGGAGAGAACAGCGATGTCTTGGCGGGAGTAGTGAGCCTCGCCGCAGATAACGGACCACCAGAAGGCGCGGCCTTAGGGAATGTCTTAGGCCTCGCCGCAGAGAACGGGCCACCAGAAGGCGCCGCCGCCGGTCTCGCCTAGATGACGGACCATCAGAAGGCGCGGATCTCTCGCAAAGCGGCGGTCTCTCGCAGAGCGACGGTCTCTCACAAAGCGGTGGTCTCTCGCAGAGCGCCGGTCTCTTGAAGAGCGGCAGTCTCACGCTGAAGCTCGCAGACAAAGCCGGCCGATATTGCCGCCGGCGCCGCTGTTTTGGGCCAAAACCTTTTGCGTGGCGGCGCCGCACCGCCTCCGGCCGGCGCTTCTGATTCGCCGACCGGCGGCGGTGCGGCGGGAGAGACAGCGGCCTGCACTAATTCATCGTCAGCCAGCCATCCGATTCTAGTCAGAGCTCCCAG